CGGGCGCGCCCGGACCCCGGGCCCCGCGGTGCCGGAAGTGGCAGTAGGGCCGCCGGCAGGGTCCCCCGGGCGCCCCAGCCCAATAGGGGCAGTCGATGGCCCGGAAGAAGCCGGTGGAGCGTAGCATGGTCCGTCCCGCGGCGGGGCCCCGGCCCGGAGCCGCCCGGGCCCCAGGGCCCCTCACTGGCGCCGCGGTCGCCGCCGCCCGCGCCTCACGGACCCCGCCGCCGCCATCTTGCTCCGAGGCCCCCGGAGGCCCCCGGGACGCCGCCGCAAGGGACCCCGGGAGAGGCTGCCCGCAGCGCGCCTGATCAGAAACGCCTGCTCCCGCGGGACCGAGGCGGGTCGCGGGCCAGTGGGCCGCGACAGGCGGCCGCGAGAGGAGGAGTGGAGGGCGCGGGCTTCCGTGCTTGCGCCCTCCGGGAGCCGCACCGGCGCCGCCGCCCAGCCCTCCCCGGCGGCAGCCCGAACATCTTGGGCCCCAGGCCCCTGAGGCACCTGGGCTGTCCACGGCGCGCCTGACCAAAAAAAAACCCCTCAGGGCCCGGCTACGGCTCATTTGCATTTAATTTGCGTTTTATTAGCATGTCGCCCTAGAGCGCCCTCTGCTGGACTAGGCGAGTCCCGCGGGCGCGTCGTACCTGTACCGAGGAACGCGCCTCAATTACCTGGTTCACGCTCTAAAACTCAGCTCCGCCCTGGTATACAGTTGGCTCTCAATAAGTGCTTCATTTCTCCCACCTGAACTCTTGTCAGCAGCCGACTCCTCAGGTCCACAGGAGGCGTCCTATTCTCGATCACTTATTTGTTCACCCAATATTGAGCGCCTCCTGTATACCAGGCCCTGCCCTCCATGCTAAGCTGAACCGTACTGCGTTTATCGTTCATCAGATGACGGCCATTTGGGTTGTTTGCGCCTTTTGTCTACTGTGAATTGTGCTGCTGTGAACATGCACGTATGTGTATCTGAGTACCAGCTTCGTTTCAGTCCTAGTTTTTAAAATGTCGATTTGTTTGCAATTCCCAACCTCTCTCGGTGAACAGTTGGCCACTTTGGGTCCCCCGGCTGGCAAGTGCCAAGGAGCCCCATGTGGGGGGGCGGGGGGACCTGTGCAGATCACCGACCCCTCTCCCAACCCACCTCTCTCCTTACCCGAGCCTCCTGGCCCGGTCAGCATTGGGGCCTGAGACCCCTCGCTCAGGGGTCTCTCAGTGCCTCTCCACCAAGCAGGAGGGTGGGCTCCTGAGGATGCTAGTAAGACGAAGTGGGGTCATCTCCGAGTTTGCACATCGTAAGTGCTCCATCCATGCTCGCTGGCCTTGGTTATTCACTCGACAAATATTTACCAAATATGTGCCAAAGTGCTGGAAACATAGGTGAAGAAAGCCAAGATCCCCACCCTGGTGGAGTGGCGCTCTAGATGGGGGAGACAGACAAGCCACAGCAAATAAGTAAATGAGACAGCACGATGCAAGGCAGAAAGTGCTGGGGGTCGGGGAACAGAACAGGGTAGGGGGCTGGGAGAAGGGGTGGTCCATGTAGTCATAGGGGAAGGTGGGATCCGAGCAGTTCTGAGGAAGGTACAGAGGGAGCCAAGCAGGCATATAGGGGAAAAGCATTCCAGGTGGAGGGCACAGCCCATACAAAGGCCCTGGGGCAGGCCAGGCTTGTGGTGTTAGAGGAACATCGAGGAGGCCGGAGCAGAATGAGGGAGGGGGAGAGAGGGAGGAGGTGAGGGCAGGGAGGGGTCGGGGCAGGAGTGGGAACATCCCGGATCTGGAGTTGACAGCGAGGTCCAGCTGATGATGGACTTGGGGTATCACAGGCACACGAGGAGGTGAGTGTGCCAGCAGCACGGAGATATGGGGACCTGAGCCTGGGGAGAGGGGGATGAATCCGGGAGGGTCAGGGGTCCCCAGGCCGCATGCGTTGCGTCCAGCAGGCAGGACGGGACATCTTCCAGCTGCGGGAGTGTTTCCAAGAGAAAGGAGAGGGGCTGTGCGCGTGGACCCCAAGTTCCAGAAAGTCTGCGGCAAAGGGGCAGTGAAGCCGGCCAGAGCTGTAGTGGACAGGGGTCCAGGCAGCGATATCTGTGGGCTTGCGGGGCAGAATCCAGTAGAAAAGGCGAAGCAGGAGCGAGGGGGATGCAACAGGGAGGCCGTCTAGGAGCAGAGGCGAGGGCCGCCTTCCCAGGTTGGGGGCTACCTTGGTGGCCGCAAGCGCAGGACCCTGGGGACGGGTCGGCGGGAGCTGGCGCGGGCGGTGCAACACCAGGGGCGGCCACCAGATGGCGAGGCCTCCGCCTTCCCTGGAGCGGGAGGCAGGGCAGCCCCGGGGGAGGGTCTACGCTCCCCCCACCGCAGCCCCACCGGCCTTCGGGGCTCTGGAGACGGCTGGAATCTGGGGTGCATTTTTCCTAGGAAGGGGTTCAAAACTCTCACCAGCTTCTCAATGCTCCAAGGGGCCCCTCGCCTCCTCCGCACCAGCCTCCTCCCAATCGGGAGCTGGCATACAGTAGGCGTCCTATACATGACCGGCCGGACCACTGAGCACAGGAGCCTGGCGGGACACGGACGGCGGGGTGGGGAACGGCCGAGGGTCCAGAGGACCCTCCAAAGAGGAACCCTGTCGCGCCCGCGAGAGGCCCCGAGGGGCGCAGGCACCTCCTGCCCCCGCCCCACCCCCGCGCCGGAAGGAGGCGGGCGGCGGACGCCCCCGGGTGCGGTGTCACCGCGCCTGGTTGCCGGGTGACGGGGCGGGAAGGCGGGCGGGGGGCGCAGCTGCGCGAGGCGTGGGTGACACTGGGCGGCAGCGCGCGCCGCTGCGGGCGGCCCCCCCTCCTGCCTTAGGGCTGGGGGCGTGGGTATTATTTTGTGTCCCGGCCAGTGGGGCCTTGCCAAGACCCCCACGAGGTCCCCAGATTCACTAGCCCACTGCCTGAGTTTTCCCAGGAGGAGGCTGGTGCCCTGGGGTCCACATTGGCAAGTGGGGCAGAAGGGCTCAGAGGGCGCACCGGCTGGGGACCGGCGATGGAAAAAACCACGCGGGCACTGGAATCAGGTTTAAAAAAGGGCTTGTTTTAATTAATTAAATACAAGGATGAGGCCAGGCAGGGCAGCGGGAGGGGCGCCACCCGAAAGCACAACTCCCTTGGGGCCCCCTCCCCCCCACACACACACCCTCGAGAGGCCACAGCTAAATGGCTGAAACCAGGTGCCAGTGACCACTGGCCCCTTGGGGGAGGCGGGGCGCGGGGCTCTCCAGGCTCCCGGACGCTGGAGAGGGACGGGGGCGGGG